CATCCCGAATGTCCATGATCTGATAAAAGAAGGACCTTGAAGAAAAGAATATTTAAAGTCAAACAGCTGGCTTTCAGACAGGCACAGTGCTCACAACTGTGGATAAAGCCTCCTAACGCTGCCATTCAGGGCCTGATTTTACATTACAAAGCTGCGACTCATTTAATAATTACATTTAAATAACTTCACCTTTCATAAATTAGTGTCTCTGTGCTGTGAGAAACTACCTGTTACGTCCGCACTGTTCGAGCATCTGTCCTCTTCAATCTTGTTGGAACTGTAAGGCAGGCGCACGACGTCCTCTAAAGAGTCAGAAGGCCCGTATCCGGAAGCGTGGGAGCTGTTTGTTAACTGTTTATGTATATTCCTAAGAAAAACCCAAATAAAAGTCATCATTCAGAAGAATGACTAATAATCAGCCTACTTCACTTTATTTTCAGAAAAATCTGTTAATTTAATGAACAGAGTAATTTACTAAATATTAAGAAAAAACCATATTATACAGTTGAACTTTATGAAAGAGATGTGAATAAAAATTAATACTTATTTGTATTTATTTCGGCTGAAAAATGGAAAATAGTAGCAGAAGTGTAGTCAATTATTCATGTCATGGTTACACTTTTCTAGTATAACTTGTGTGGAAAATGTAGGCTGTTAAATCTGCGGACATTCAAAAATTGGTATGACCATGATTTGCCACTCTGAAAGGATTTTTAAATCTCAAAGAACTAAGCTCTGTGTCAAAATTGAAAGCTTTACTCTTAAGTGAGTTATATCTTTTTTTTTAAGTGAGTTATATCTTAAACAATATTTTTAAAATTCAGGAAGTTTTAACATCAATTCTGCCAGGGTTAGAAAAGACATCACCTTACACCAGATAGGACACTGAGCAATAAAGACACCACCTTACACCAGATAGGACACTCTTGAAATAATCTCATCTATGTGTTAATTCTTACCCATCAACTTTTTCTTCTTCAGTTGAATTTGTGGCCTTGACAAACTCACTGTACTCTTGGCCTGGGTCATAGAGTTTGGCAGTATCACAGAGAGACTGCAAATTGTTTGCGAGCGAGGCAGCCTGCAGTTGTTGCATCTGGAAGAGGTTGACTGTCACCTATGGTCACATACAAAAACAAAAGGCAAGGTAACTCATGCTAGACAGAATGCTGTGTATATTTATTCCAAGTGACAGCACCAAAACAGGCCACAGAGTGAAGCATTCAACAATGTGTATCATTGTGAGCACACTATGTTGCCTGACTTTGTACAAGGTCTAAATCAGGGGGGGAGAAAAGTAATTTTAATCCAAAACCTAGGAGCAATCATTTCTGGCAAAACTGGCTTTAATCTGAAATGTTAAAAAATACAACCTCATGTCCCTAATGGTTCACAATTTCAGGAGATGGATGGGTTTTTGAGGATTCCCAGCTCTGTACTCTGATGGTTTGACCACAATTGTCTAAACTGAAAAATTGGGGGAAAAAATTCCAATCAGAGCACTATTATTTTGACTTTCACTTTTGCAATCCTGTAAAAATAGAAATGCTTTATATTTATAATGTATCCTATAGCACTCAATTTTTATGATTAGGTACTATCTTGAATCTATTCGAAAATACATTATTTCACTGAGTTTCCACAAATGCCTAAATACATTGTCACTGCTGCTGCTCACAGTAACAGCAGGGGCACAACAGCTGGGGGTGCTTACAACGCGCCAGATCCATTCTGAGAGCTGCGCGTGTTAGCTTCTCTCATGTTCACAAAACCCTGGGCTCTGGGTATTCTATGGCAAATAAACAGATGAGATCTCAGTCCTCATAAGAGTTTGCATTTCCCTGAGGGTGGTGTTAGAGAGACAGGACACATTAAGTAAATAAGATAATTTCTGGTACTGAAAACTGCTATAAACATAAGATCATCAGGTTATGGAATGTCACCAGGTATGTGTTTGCAGAAGAGTGCTAGTGACGAGGCACTGGGTGCCCTTACTGGGGTGGCTCACAGGTACCTCAAAAATCATCATGCCTCTAAGATCTTTCTGCCCCCCAATCTGCTTGGGGGAAGGACTCGGTCCTTCAAGGTCCCCAATATGAAGTGCAGGTCTTAAAGGGGAAATGACTAAATGAGTAAGAGTAGAAAGTGTCATCAGCCAAGATCATATGGAAATTCTGCATGTTTTCTGGTACTGCTTACTCAAGCTCACAGGACTTCCAACTCTATGCCCAGCTTTCAATAACCTACATACAATTTTTAGTTGCTCCATGGGCACAGAGATTAGCACAAATTTCTCTGACAGCTGTTGAAACAGAGTATTCCATAATTTCAGATCAATGGGAAAAGTTTTTCCCACATAGACAGCAATAACTTAAAAATTAATTTTTGTTCAATATAATTTTCTATCCTATATTTTTTAAAAGATATATTTTTCTTGAACGTGCTTTAAAACAAAAGGAAAAACTCCTGTGTTAATTTTTTTCACTCTTCAAAGGCCACTGATCTGATTAGGTCTTCAGTGACTGACTTGGTCATTTCTCCTTCCTCTCACTTAGCAATGTAATTATGATCTATATTCCATACCCTTCAGTGCTTTATAATTCAAGACAATTTTGAATATTCAGGAGTAATTCTTGATGCTCATGATATAACTTACAATTTGCTGGGACATGAGTCTGACTAGTGCACCTTCCTTAAGATAGTGAGTGAACCTGAGTGTCTAGCATCCCTGTATCTCAAATGATTCTGCCTTCTCTGCAATGATAAATGCAATAATATATCCTAGAATGAAAAACCCTAAAATTAAAAAAAAACCCAACATTCAATATAGGTTTCAAAGAAGACCAAGAGTCATATAAGGTAATATTGAAAATGTCTAGGGTATCATCCAAAATTACTTGTCATATGAAGAGCCAGGAAAATCTCAACAACTCACAAGAGAAAAGACAAGAAACATACCAACACTGAGATGACTCAGCTATCTGAATTATTAGATAAAGGCTTTAAAGCAGCTATTATAATGGTTTCAAGACACGAGGGCAAAAAGTCTTGAAATATGGAAAGCCCGAAGTCTCAGCAGAGAAGTGGAAAATATAAAAAAAGAAATGAGAAAATTTTTCTACTGAAAAATATCATATTCAAAATAAAAAATTTACTGGATTGACTGTACACAGAAATGCAGGTAACAAAGGAAACAGCCAGTGAACTTGAAGAAAGAGCAGAACAACATAAACAATCAAGAGGAAAAAGACTGGGGTGGAAAACGTCTGACGTTCCTGTGGAACAGCAACAAAAGATAATATTTGAGTCTTTGGAGTCTTAGGGGAAGAGGATAAAGTGCTGCAAAAAAATATTTGAAGAAACAACAGTTAAAACTTCCCAAATACTGCAAGAGTCAAACTTGCAGATTCAAGAAGTTCAGGGGACCCAAAACAGGAGAAATTCAACAAAATCCAAACCCAAAAGCACCATAATCAAACTGCTGAAACCCAAAGACAAAGAAGAAATTTTGTAAGCAGCCAAAGAAAACAACACACTACACACAGGGGACAACGATTCAAACGGCTATGGATTCCTCATCAGGAACTATGGAGGCCAGAAGGCAGCTGAGTAACACTTTGAAGTGTCAAAAGAAAAGAAATGAATTCTATATCCAGTGCAAATACCTTTCAGGAATGAAGATGAAATAAAGACATTCTCAGATGAAAGACAACAAAGAGAATGCACCACCAGCAGACCTACTACATAAAAGACTGTAAACGAAATGGTAAAGGAAGTGCTTTAGACAAAAAAATGAAACCAGAGAAGAGATGGAATCTCAGAGTGAAAGAACAATAATGCAATGGTAAATACCTGGGAAAATTTAAAGACTACTTTTCTCTTCTTAACTTCTTAAAAATATGAGACTGTTGAAAACAAAAATTATAAGACTGTCTGGTGAGCTTTTCAATGCATATAAATGTAATGCACATATATCAAAGTGAGTAAAGGGACTTACATGGTGATATAGTTTCTACACTCCACTTGAACTTGGTAAAATATGAATTCTAAGTGGACTGAAAAGTCTCTCTCTATATACATATAGTGCAACCATTTAAAGGAAATGTACTATACAAACAGATAAAGTAAAAAAAATTCAATAGATGAATTAAAATGTAGATAATAGATAAATGTAATCATTTTAGATGAAACATTCTAAATAGAAATAAACAGTTTTAAATTAAATCTTAAAGATAAATTAAATAAATCATTAAAATGTAACTCTAAAAAATTTATCAGTTTACCCAAAATACGGCAGCAAAAGGAAAACAGATGAAGGGAAACATACAGTATAGAAAACAAAAAAATACTTGGCCTAAATCTGAACATATGTGCACATTAAACGATCTAAACATCTCACTTAAAAGATACAGATTATCAAAATAGATTTTTAAAAAAATCAACACTGAAAATAGATTTTAAAAAGTTTCTTCTGTAGAGCACAGGGAACTATATTCAATTAATTAATCAACTATTCAATTAATGAATGAAATATGAAAATGAATATATGTATGTATATGCATAACTGGGACATTGTGCTGTACACCACAAATTGATACACTGTGACTGTACTTCAATTAAAAAAAGTTATTCCTTCAATAGAAAAAAAATCAACACTGAACAATATGCTATGTAAGAAATTCATTTAAAATATATATAATGATTAAAAGCAAAAGAACAGAAGAGGATATACTATGCTAAAAATAATCAAAAGAAAACTGAAATAGTTTTACCAATATTAAATAATGTAGACTAAAAAGCAAGGAAAATTAGCAGGATAAAGATAAAAGGATCAATTTACCAAGAATACATAACAATCATTAATGTTTAAGCAACTGAGAGACTACTGATTATTTTTTAAACCCAAAGCAAGCAGAAAGAAAAAATAAAAAGCAGAAATAAGTAAAATTTTAAAAAGAAAAACAGAGAAAAATCAATGAAATCTAAAGCTGTTTCTAGGAAAAAATCAGTAAAATGTATAAGCCTCTAGCTAGACTAACCAGAGAGAGGGAGGGAGAGAGAGAGGAGGCACGAATCACCAGTATCGGGCATGGAAGAGAGGCTGTCACTACAGCCCCTGGGACACCGGCAGGACAGAAGGACACTATAAACAACTCTATGCACATAAATTCAACAACTCCGATGAAAGGAAGGGACCAATTCCACAAGCCACTGAAATTCACCTTTTGAAAAAGAAATAACTAGCTCAAATGGGCCGATGTCAAAAGAAACTGAACACACAGTGAAAGATCTTTCAAAAATGAAAACCCCAAGCCCAGACACTTCCACAGGGAATGCTGCTTAACATCGAAAGAAGTAACACCAACTCCACACAATCTCTACTAGAAAACAGAATAGGAACAACCTCCAACTAATTTTATGAGGCCAGAATTACCCTGATACCAAAACCAGACAAAGGCAGTATAAGAAAAAAACAAAACAAAAACGGATACACATATCTTTCATTAAAAGAGAAGAAAAAAAAATAGTCAACAAAATGTTAGCAAGCTGAATCCAGCAATATATAAAAGGAACAGTGCATCACAACCATGAGTGGCTTACCCCAAGAATGCAAGGCTGAATCAACACTCAAATACCAAATATCATAATATTCAGAGACTGAAGAAAAACTACATTATCACATCAATCAAATGATGTAAAAAAAAACACCCATTTGATAAAATCCAACAACTTCATGATAAAACTCTCAGCAAACTAGAAAATGGGGAACTTTCTTAACACAATGAAAGGTATTAAGAAAAAGCCCCACAAAAAACAAACCTACAGCTAATGGTGAAAGACAAATGCTTTCAGCCTAAGATCAAGAACAAAGCAAAGATACCTTTTCTCATCACTCCTACTCAACAATGAACTGGAAGTCCCACCCGATAAATAAGAAAAAAGAAAAAAAGGAATATAGTTTGGAAAGAAAGAAAACTGTCCCTATTTGTAGGCAATGTGATTTTTTATGTAGAAAACCCCAATGATTCTACAAAAAGAGCTCCTAGAACTAGTGAGTATATCAAGGTTGCAAGATACAAGATCAACACACAAAAATCAGCTGTGTTTCTCAACACATTAGTCAATGAACAACTGAATGTGAGATTAAATAAAATGTGTGTCTGTATGCATAGACACACACATCTATTGGGGATATAAAGCGATAAATTGGGAGTTCGAAATTTTCACCTCTTGAGGACTGATGGAAATGCTAGCTATTTTGATTGTGGTGGTAGTTTGGAATCATACCACAATAAAAAAGATGACACAAAAAAAATCTCACATACCTAAATAAATAGAAAGACACACTGTGTTCACGGATTGGACAACTCTATACATAGTAAGGATGCCACATAGATAGTCATTTCTCCCTAATCTAATTAAGATGTAACATAATTACAACAAAAATGTTAGCAGGATTTTCTGTAGACAGACAAGCTGATCCTAACATATTTATGGACAGTCAAAGGATCTTAAATATTCCAAACAATTCTGAAGAATAACGTTGGAAGACTTACACTATCTGACTTTAAGACTTGATAGACGGCAACAGCGATCAAGCTAGCAGGAATGTGACAAACGGACAGACACATATATACCCGCGGGACAAAACAGGATCTAGAAATATAACTACAAAAATATGGTCGACTGATTTCTCACAAAGATGCAAAGGCAATTCAATGGCGATGGCACAATGTTTTCAACTAATGGTATTGGAAGAAGCGGACACCGGTATTAATCACGTTTTTTCTTTTCTGCATTTTATGATGATTTGACATCTTAAAAAGCTTGCTGATTGGTGAGATCGACTGTTCCTCCCAAAGCTAGCCAATTCTTAACTGGGGAGCCCACATGTCTTTCATATGCAACTCAACCACCTCTAACTCTCACACACCAAGCCAGTATTTTCCCCTGTCCTAAATCATCCGAAGGCCCGGTACCAAGCAACCGGAGGCCATCCCTCTTTCCCAAGCCCACTGGAATTATTCAAACTAGCCAATCCTGTATTGCTTATCCTGTCCCACCTTGCCCTTCCCTCAGAAACCCCAGTAAAGGCTTGGTACTCAGCTCTCTCCTCACTCCCACTTTTGCTCCACCACACCTGGTACTTCTGTGGCCCTGCGTGACACGGTGCGTCCCACTCTCTAGTTAGTAATATATTTTTCAATGACACTGGCCTCTCCATGTCAGCATTCAGTTACTTCTATAAATTGAAGTCTCGTGGGTATAATTTTAATTCAACATCCAAGTGCGAAAAAATGAACCTAACATACACTTCACACCTTAACAAAAATTAACTCAAAATGGATCACTTCTCAGTGTCAGACTGTAAAACGGTTACCAGAAAACATAGGAGGCTTTGAGATCTTGGGTGACATGAAGCATTCTTAGATATAACACCAATAGCATGACCCACAAAAGAAGAAATTGATAAATTAGACTCCATCAAAATTAAAATGTTTTGCTCCATGAAAGACACTACTGAAAGAATAAAGAGAAGCTTCAGACTGGGAGACAATACATGCAAGCTCAACAGTAAGAAAACAATCAAAAAGAACAGGCAAGATACAGATGGCAAATAAGCCCTTGAAAAGATGCTCAACATCATAAGTCACTCTAAAAACACAAACTAAAACCACTACCAATACACACCTCTAAGAACAGCTAAAACATAAAAACAACAACTGACAAGCGTTGCTAAGGACACAGAACAACTGGAACTCTCATACGTTGCTGGTCAGAATGAACAATGTTATGCTCACTCTGGGAAAGTTTTGCAATTTCCTATAAAGGTAAACAGAAACTCACCATAGCACCCAGTAACCTCACTCCTAGGTGTATTTGCCCTAGAAATGTGAAAACCTGCGTTCACACAAAAACCTGTTATTAGACATTCATAGTAGCTCTATTCAGAATCGCCTCAAACTGGAAACAATGCAAATGTCAACTGGTGAACGAATACCAGTGTGGTACAGACTCATACAGCAGGACACCACTCAGCAATAAAAAGAAGTGAACTACTGAAACATGCGTAACATCAGTGACTCTTCAAAAGCAGTACGCTGAGTGAAAGAAGCCAGTCTCCAAGAGACAATACTATGATTCCATTTATGACACCGTGGAAAAGGCCAAAGCATAGAAATGGAGAACAAATGAGGACTTGTCAGGGGTGAGGGGCAGGTGGAGAGCTGCACTGCAAAGGGGAAGCATGAGGAAATGTTCTTGGAGTGACAGAATTGTTCTGAATCCTGACTGTGACAGTAGTGGTTCTACAAATTAATACATGTGTTAAAACTCGTGAAATGTACACCCAAAACAGGTACAGTCGAACCTTGGTATCTGATGGGAACTGGTTCCAGGACCCCCAACCCAACATGGATACCAAAATCAGCAAATGCTCAAGTCCCTTGTACAAAGTGGCACGGTATTTGTATATAAACTATGCACAACCTCCTGTACACTTTAAATCATCTCTAGATTACTTATAATACCTAATGCAATATAAATGCTATGTAAATAGTTGTAAATACAATGTAAAT